AGAAAATTATTTTTTAAAAGGAAACAGAGATCTACCATGATTCCACTCGTGATATTTTGGTGTATTTTCTTATAAGACTCACGCAATGAAATAAATTTGTTCATACACTGTATATACAAGAATTGGTGAATTACATCAATAAATAAAATAAGCATACCTCATCAGCCGGTGTCTGTGTGCGTTTGGCCTCGCGGAGCCTCACCTGAGGCAGGGGTACTGAGAGCCGCAGCCTGACCCCAGGCGCTCGACGAGGACCTCTGACACGCAGCGCCCCTGGGACACTCCAACTGATCAGGTCACAGAGAGGTTAGAGAAAGGGCTTCGAGGGCAGCACCTGAGAATGCACTGACCACTCGATTCAACTTGACCTTTGTACACAGCCTGACTGGGTTCCGCCCCGTCCGCCCGCCAGGTCCCTCCACCTCCGACGCTCAGCCTGCGCTTCTCCCCCTGCTGCAGCACGGCACCCGGGGAGCCGCGGGCACTCTTGGCGGGCTCCTGGGCAGGTGGTGGTGCCCAGTGGTAGCACCGGAGGCCCGGCAAAGCAGCCCTGGAGCCTGGCACCCATGGACAGCCCCTGCCCCATCACAGCATGCCACACCATCCTCTGTGACTAGGGAGGTGACGGTCGAGGCAGTGGACATGCTCGCAGGATCCACAGCCTACCTGGTCAGCCACCTGGGGTCAAGGAAGGCAGGGTGGCCACGGAGAGTCCCTGGTGCCACTTATGAGGTGTGGGGTCTGGACTTGACCCACACAGGCCCACCCAGCAGTGGCCCAGCCATGGGCCCTGGTCCAGGAGCTCAGGGATGGGAGGGGTAGGGACACTCCCATTCTAACCCATCCCTGCTCATGTGACCCAAGTGTCGCCCAAAGGGAAGGCGACTGCCTGTCCCGTGTGGCCCATCCGCAGGCTGGAGTCCTGACCACTGACGCCTCAGAACGTGGTGGGGCCTTCCCAGTCAGAGGTCATGGCCTTGTAAGAGGGACTCTGGACAGACACTGCCCAGGGAAGAGGAGGGATGGACGGGAGGAGGACCCTAAACCCAGGTCAGCAGAGGAGGATGGACAATCCACCAGCCGGGGAGAGGGGCTGGAGGGGTCCCACCCACTGTGGTCACTTCACAGCGACCCCACCCAGTTGTCGGCCTCCTGAGGCCAGAAGGTACACAGTGACCCACACCTGGATGGATCCCCTGGGGCCTCCTGTCCCCCCAGAGCCCAGGGACGGTGCCATGGAGGGAAGGATCAAGAAAAGCAGGGCTCAGTCCTCGGAGCCAAGGAGAGCCCCGACCCAGCAGAAGTCACTGGCCAAGGGCAAGGAAGCGGGACGGGCGGAGCTGTGACCACCATGGCCCTCTCAGTGCTGTCTCCCTCTGTGCCTTCTCCTGGTGACACCCCATCCTAACCCCTCTCCCTTGTTGTGATGGATTTGGTGCTGTTTCCTGGTATTTAGTGGCGGGGCCACAGAAGGGACAATCCTCCAGTTGGGGACGTACCTCAGCGCTGCTGTGCTTGCCTGACGTGCTGGCTGCCACCCGCACCCTGGAGGAAGGAAGGAGGAATTCAGAGCAGCTGGGAAGAGGCTGGGCGGTCCATCTGCACGGGGACAGACTCCTTGCTCAGGCAGGAAGGTGCTCTTGTCCCCGCTGACAGGGGCATCTGYGGAGAGCGCGTGAGATGAGCCCACCAAGGCCCCTTTATCTGCCTTAGTTCACCTCCCTGAGTCACCAAGACCGCTTAGGTCTCTGTCCTCAAAGTGCTCCTTCCTGGCCACCTTGCACCCAGGGGTCCCCATGTGGCCTTGGCATGTGTGGGAGACCTGAGCAGAAACCCARGGGCCCTCCTGTAAGTCACGGCGTGGGGTCAGGTTCCTCGACTCAGGAATCGGGGGGAGTCCATGGACACAAGGGGAGAGCAAAGTGACAGGGTTTAACAGAAAGAAAGCGGGGCTCCCCAGAGAGGGGCCCAGGGGTGGCTGCTGTGCCAGGGTTTGTGTGGGACGCAGGCTGCGGTCACCAGCCCCCGGTGTCCCCAAGCTCTCCTGTGCTCTTGGGGCCAACAGCCACCGTGCACACCCACTTCTCTGGTGGGTGTCTCACGGTCAGTTCTTCCCTCTCTGGTTACGCGGGAGTCGGCCTGGCCGTGATGGGCCTGGCTGGTGCCCAGTTTCTCAGCCCTGAGGCCGGAGGAGCCCAGGTTTCCTGTCTGCCCCCTTTAACCCTTTCTCCTGCCTGGGACGGGGTGGGTGCCAGGAAATGGGAGGCTCAGGGGTCTCCTCCTGCCAACCTAGGGAGATGAGTGCCCAGGAGGGGGGAGGGGCGAGACCAGTTAGACCGTTTCCCGCCTCCTCCTTTCCCAACTTCTGTGCTTCTGAGGGGCAACTGAACCACCTCGGCTTCTAAATTGATTTAATTCACAGAAGAGCTCCAGAGGACACGTAGGAGCCGGGGAACCTTTGACACGACCCTCTGGTTACATCCTCCATCAGTCACGAGAACACATTCCATAAAGGGTTGGCACGTTCTGTTTATTACTGTGCATTTGGTATTTACAAGGGTTGTTACACTCGAGGTCCTCAATAAATGCTGGCAGRTGTGGTGGTTCACCCTGCAATCAGGGGCTCATGAGGCTGAGACAGTCAGATGGAAAGTTCAAAGCCAGCCTCAGCCACTTAGTGAGACCCAATTTCAAAATAGAAAATGAAAAGTTCTGGGGGGGGTGGCTACAGCTGTCGCTCAGTGGTAGAGCACTGGCCTTGCACAGGTGAGGTCCTGGGCTTGAGCCTCAGAACCACATACAAACCAGTAAGTAAAATAAAGGTCAGATTCTTCAAAAAAAAAAGGCTGGGGATGTGGCTCAGTGGTTAAGTACCCCTGGGTTAAATCCCCAGTCCCCAAAACCAAWACAAAACAAAAGGACCCCAAAATAAACAAAACAACTAACAGGGGCTGGGGTTGGGGCTCAGCGGCACAGCGCTGGCCTCCTACCTGTGAGGTGCTGGGTCCATCCCCAGCTCCACATATAAATAAGGAAATAAATAAAGGTCCATCAACAACTAAAAAAAAAAAAAAAAGAAAAGAAAGAAAGACAACTAACGAAGTCTGCATAAACCAGATGAGTTTCCAAGGAGAAGCCAACGTCCCCATTGCCCTCTGTGAGGCCGTCAAACTGCAGGCCCCCTGGGGCTCGGGGCGCAGCCCAGGCTGCCCTGGTCACTGGCTGGATCCTCTCCGGGGTGCACCCTCCTCTGGTGCCTCACGAGGTAGGACCTGTCGGCGAAGGCCCTCCCGCACCGGGGGCACACGTGCGGCTTCTGCCCGGTGTGCGTCTTCCGGTGCAGGAGGAGGCCCAGCTTGCGGCTGAAGGCCTTGCCGCACTCGGCGCAGCGGTGCGCCTTCTCCCCGAAGTGCGTCAGCCGGTGGGTGCGCAGGTTGGACTTCTGCAGGAAGGCCCTCCCGCAGCGGTCGCACGCGTGGGCCTTCCGCCCGGTGTGCACGCCGCGGTGCTGCAGCAGGTTCTTCCTCTGCTTGAAGGTGCGGCCGCAGTCCTCGCACGCGAAGGCGCGCTCGCCCGCGTGGATGCGCTCGTGGTCCACGACGTTGGACTTCTGGGCGAAGGCCCGCCCGCACACGGTGCACCGGTAGGGCTTCTCCCCGGTGTGCGTCCTGCGGTGTCGCAGCAGGTCCGACCTGAACACGAAGGCCTTGGCGCAGTCGGCGCAGCGGTGCGGCCTCTGGCCCGCGTGCACCCGCAGGTGCTGCGCCAGGGCCGACTTGAGCTTGAAGGCCTTGCCGCACGCGCCGCACCCGTAGGCCCTCTCAGCGCTGTGGATCTTCTCGTGGTTGATGCGCGCCGACTGCCAGGCGAAGGCCTTGCCGCAGACCCTGCAGCTGTAGGGCTTCTGCTGGGCGTGCGTCGCCTGGTGCTGGACCAGGTTGGGCTTCTGCTTGTAGGTCTTGCCGCACTCGGCGCACGGGTAGCGCCTCTCCCCGGCGGTCGGCGCGGGCCGGCGCGGGCGCAGACACTGGCCGCAGGCCGACTCTCCACAGGCGTCGCAGCCGAAGGGCTTCTCCACAGCCTGGAACGGTGGGTGGCCACTTAACTTCCCAGCCCTATGGCCTTCAGGGGAGCCATTCCSAGCGCCGTCTTCCCGGTCCACACTGCGTTTCCGAGGCCGTCCGCGCCGCGCAGGGCCGCGCTCGGGGAGCCTGCGTCTCCGGGGAGCCTCCTCGGCGCTGGGCAGCACCCTCTCCTGGTGCCGCGAGCCTCGCGGCCGGCCCCGGGTCAGCGCTGCCCTGTCGCTGGGCACCGCTTCTCTCCGGAGAGCCCTGGGCATGGTCCGTGGCCGCCGAACCTGCCCTCGGACATCGCAGGCTTTTCCTAAAAGGGAATACAGAGAAGTTCCCTTGAAGCTTTCCTCTCCGTGACCGGGAGGAAGCACCGATCCCTGTGCCCCTCTGGCTTCCACCGACATCGGGACGGGGCAGGAGACGCCCTGCGGTCACCCAGGACAGCCAGAGCCGTGCTCCCCAAGAACATGAAAACCGCCGGGTGCGGGCGTGGGATGGCACYGGTGATCCCCGCAGCTCCAGAGGCCGGGGCAGGATTGGCGAGACCCTGTCTCAAAGTGAAAAGTAGAAATAGGCCTGGGGTGTGGCTCAGCGGTTCAGCACGGGTTGGATCCTCCTGCCACAAAGAGGGGAGGGTGGGGTGCAGCTCGGAACATCCCTGGTCAGTCCCCAGGGCTGCCAAACAGTGTTCCACGAAACCCCGAGGGCCAGGGGCTGGGGGGGTGCAGCTCCAGCATCAGCAGCCAGAGTTCGGCCTGGCTCGGCCCTGCCCACCTCTGGCTACCAGTCGGGCACCACGCTGGCCAAGAGTGAACTTCTAAGTTTACAAATTGCTGTTTTTGAATAATTCTGCACTTTTGAATTGGATTGTTCCCCTGGGTCTAGATTTCTTGTTTCTTTAATAGGTCCCAATATGAAGGAAAACCCAAGGTAGGGAGTCTGAGAAGAGAACTAGAACTGGAGAAATCGGTGCAGGAAACAGAAGTACAGAGACCCTGAAAAAATGTGAGTGCGTCTTGAGAAACTCCAATAAAGCCTCTAAGTCCATACCCACATCCGTCTAATGCCAGGGACCTGGAATGAACACACCCTGGTGCAGGGGTCCCGAGCCCGGAGACTTGGTGGGGCAAGCGCCCAGCTCAGCCTCTGAGGCCGCTGGTCCACAGCAGCCAGGAGAGCCCGGGACACGGGGAATGGAGCTGCGAGGTGATGAGGGTGCCGCCGCACAACCAGCCCGCGGGCGGCCACCTGTCACCTACYGGCCCTGCGCGGGTGGCCACCTGTCACTTACCCGTGCCGCTGCTCTGCGCCCCGGCCTCCTCCGCTGACCACGGCCCCTGGCCTCTCTCAAGCCTCAGGATCACGTCGGGCTTRACGGTCTCCTCTCCTCCTGGAGAAGAGCACAGGGCTTAGGCTGGCTTTTGCGTGTGAAAACGTGAGTGTGTGTGTGACTGTGTGAGTGTGTGTGTGTGCGTGTGTGACTGTGTGAGTTTGTACAAGAGTGTAAGTGTGAGGGTAAGTGTTGTGTGATGATGTGTGTGAACCTGTGTTTGTGTGTATGAATTGTGTTGTGTGATTACGAGTGTAGTTTGTGCAAGAATGTGAATATGTGAATCTTGTGTGACTATGAATTTCTGTGTGTTTGTGTGTATGAGTTGTTATATGATCATGAGTGAGTCTGCTATGAGTTTTGTAAGTTTTGTGCAATTGTGAGCTTGTGTGAGTGTGAGAGTATTGTGTTATATGAGTGTGTTAGTGTTGTGATTATAAATGTGAATTTGTATATTAGTGTTGTGATTATGTGAGCTTGTGTATGACTTTTGTGTATGTTGTGTGATTATGAAAGTAGTTTGTAAGTTTTGTGAATTGTGACCTTGTGTGAGTGTGAGCCTTGTGTGGTTATGAGTGAGTTTGTGTGTGTTGTGATTATGAATGTGACTTTGTGGGTACGACGTCTGTGTGTGTTGTGTG